TATTTTGAGTAGAATAGAGAATTATTAGAACCTCTGTCAACTTTTCATTGCTGTATATGCCCCATTATGGAGATTTCCACTTACTTCTGTTCTGCCGGACACCTGTTACCCGGGAAATGTTAATAATGGATACACACACTGCAATAAAAACCCAACAGAGGCCACAGGCTCCATTTTGTGAATAGCCATGTCTCCACATGGAGGAGGCTGAGACATAACATCAGTGCTGTTGTCTATGAGACCTGTAGCATTCTGGAAAAACAGCGGGAGCTGTACTATCCGGCAAAATGTAATAGAAGTGTTTTAACAACATTATGAATAATTTAGAAAATCAATTACAGCCCTAGAGAGGTAAAACAAATACTTAGAGGGTTATTCACGAAGGAGCCAAAGGATCCAGTCGTAGTTTCAGCTGCTCCTTCGGCTCACTTTAGCCGCTGGAGCCCTTCGGTTCAGTCGAACAGAAGGGCTGCTGTGGGGGCTATTCACAATAGCCCATGCAGCAGCCGAGCGGTTCAGCCGAGCCGAACGCATATGCTTTGGCTCAGCTGAGCCATAGTGGCAGCCGAATGGTGGAGAAAGGTCAGCCGAAGCCGCAACCTTGACAGCTGGGCGGAGCCAGCCATGATCTCACCCATTTATTGTCCTGTAATGACATATATGTGTCCTCAATGACCTGGGGATGCTGATCTGTCATTAAACAACAACTGGGCGGAGCCAGCTGTGGCGCCATGGCCGCCTCCGCCCAGTTGTTGGAAAAGTCTGACAGGTGGAGGAAAAATGTAATCAGTTTGGCAGAGCTAGCTGTGATGTCACTGCTAGCTCTGCCCAATCGTTTATATTTTGCCGGCATCTGTCAGATTCTTCATTCTGCGGCGGGAGTTCTACGCTTGCGGTTGGGTCGGCGGGCCTCGGGTCTTTTTTAAAAATTATTTGTATTTTTTATGTCATCATGTCGTCGTCGTCCTGGACAATGCTGGACGTCATGATTGACCTTGGATTACGTCGGTGGATCAGTTTTTTCGTTTTTTTTTAAATTAAAGGACTTGTTGAAAATCCGTTGTTTTTTTTCAAATAAGGGATTTTTCAAAAGTCTGCCCTCTTTTTTAAAGTTTTAATTTAACCCTTTAGTGAATGGGTAGGGGTACAAGTACCTCTTACTCATTCACAAGGGGAGTGCATCTAGGTGCCGCTTTATTAAACGGGTATCCTGATGTGAATAAGCCCCCTTGCCCTCACCCCCACAACCAACGCCCCAGGGTTTGTGGGGAAAAGGCCCTAGTTCCCATTGGCACAGGGACAAGGTGCTTTTCCAGGGGCAATGGTCTGGTATGTGGCATGGTATGGCAGGGAAGGCCTGCCCTACCATGCCTGTGCTCGGATCAAGGGTTTGGTTGGGAATTTTAGGGGAGACCGCACTTCTTTTTCCCCCCATTTTTGAGGGTGGGGTTCCTCCTTTAAATTCTTACCAGACTTTAAGGGCCTGGTATGACTTTGGGGGGGAAACCCCACACACTTTTTTTTTCAATTTGACTTGGGGTCCATCCTAAAATTCCTACCAGACCTATAGGGTCTGATATGTTTTAGGAGGGGGACCCCACTTTGTTGTTTTTTTATTTTGTTTATGATTTTCTTAACTTTTTCTAATTTTAGTTTTTTTACATTTATTTCAATAATTTTTAAACATTTTGTTTTTCATTTGTTTACATTTTTTTCTAACTCTGAGATAGTGAGCAGAATAGCCGAGCCGAATGCCACTCGGAGGCATCCGGCTATTCACTCACTGCCGTTCGGCTCCCATGAGAATATGGGTGAACGGCAGCGAGTGAGTTGTCGGTGCTTCGGCTCAACTGATCCAGCTGTTGGATCGGCTGAGTCGAAGTCCTTTTACAATACGGCTCTGCCAAAGGCAGCTGATGTACGGCTAATTTTAGCCGATGTATGGCTGAAATCAGCCATACTGAACGGAAGTGAATAGGCGAACGTTGTTTGGCTCTGTTCACTTCTGCTTGTTTATTCACCTTCGGCAGCTTAGTGAATAACGCTCTTAGAGATTTAAAAATATGAAAACTTCACTGCCCTGAGTTGGGCTCAAAATAAATGAAAAAAATTGTGATTTATTTCCTCAAGGAGCAAAACATTTTCTCTTTGTAAAGTGAATATTAACTTAGTTTAGTGAATAAGGTAAAGCTGAATTCAATTCAATGACATAAGCACATGTAAGCTATTTTTTTTTTTACTTACTCTGCATCTGACTAAACATTTACATAAACACAGCTTCACTATTTACATTGTTACCATACACTCCAATCCCAGTGCGTGCAGCTATATAGGTATTTAAAAACTGGTGTAGCCCTGTAATTGTACTGGTCCATATGTGTATTGTTAAAATAGTTACGCAACGTAATGTCGTCATTTTCTGTGTATAGTCTATCCTCTTTTTGCAAGTTATATGTGTCTGATTGATATATATGTATCCTCTTGTTCTCAGTGTGTGTCTGTATATCTCTGCAGGTTCTTATAACTCTAGCATTTTATTCTATAGCTAGCAGCATTACAACATTGCTGTGCAGGTCATTATATCACTGCATGTTATTACGTTACTGTTCAGGTTATTTTATGGCTTTGCCACGTTTTTTACAGAAAACTCTGCTAGCTGTGAAAGAGCCTGTCTATATGATATATATACCTTTGTAAAATGAAACCACAATCTCTCTCAGGGCTCGTTCACATGGATGACTCAAAAATGCATACTAAGTGTAGGTGAAGGCCATTTTGCCATTTTTTCTATTTTCGCCACAATCGACTTTATAAAATTCATATTTATTTTAATGTTTTTCTTAAGCTAAACCTGAATGTGCAATATGTTAATTTTAGTCAAACTATCAGCATGTGCTAACTGTTTAACCCCTTTTCTACCGGTTTACGTTTTAAAAATGGAGGTTTGGAGGACTGCTATTTCCCCACCGCAATTTAAAAACATGAATGGAGAAAAGTCCTCAGGGCAGCTGTTTTGCCCCCTGACAGGTGTGTACCAAGCTATCTAATGTCAGAAACATACATACAGTGAGATTATAGAGATAGTATACATATATAGTATACCAAGCAAATCCAAGAAGCTCAGTACCATGTGGTTGCTGTGATGACCAATCACAACGATCATATGCTAGTGTGTATATTGTTGATCCCTCCCCTTTCTCTTACAACCGAAGAAAGAGCGGAATCACAGTAATTTATGAATGAATGAGTGAATAGATTAGCAGCAGTAGTATCACATACTGGAGGTGGTGACAGGGGATGTAAGGACAGAAAGAGGCACAGGCGCCGGTACTGGTGGCTGGCCAGTTTTCGTAGAGACACTTGTGTGCGTTGGACCAGCTGGTGAATCTGCAGGACCTGGATGACCCCGGGACGTCTTGGAACTAGATGAGGCAACAAGTGTGAGGCCAGTGAAGCACTGACTGGATGAAGCTGCTCAGGGTACTGGTGGAGCGATTGACAAAGTGGCAGGTCAAGAGCCACCTAACTGGTTCAAGCCGAGGTCATACACGAGAAGCAGAATCTTGAAGTGCCAAATCACAGATCAGGATCAGGGTCAGGAGTCATAAGCCAGGGTCATATACGGGAGAGCAGAGAGTCGAGGTACCAAATATGAAGAAGGAAGTGGAATCAATGGAAATCAGGATACAGGAACAGAATGCAGGGCACACAGGACTAGCTGGCGACCACTCAGCTACTTGATCATAGCCTCTGTCGGTTTATATAGAGAAGTGTGCAGACTTATGAGCGTGCGCCTGTACACTAACAAGTGTGCTCCCGAAAGCTCACGTGCATTCCAATACACATACATCCATGTGCCAAAGCGTGTTTGCCTGGAACTTTTATCATAGGATTGCATGCTCGTGTGCGTGCACGTTTTTGAACAGGAATTAGTTTGCAGGTAAATCTCTTACAAGTAGCTGCTGATCCATTCACTCATTTCCACTGACTATGAGGCTTTTTTTAGCCCTTTTACTACCCTCCTCTAATAACCATCTGTCTCTGCATTGTGATCTGTAGATTAACCCCTCACCCACTAACCTCCTCCTCCCCATCCTTCCACAGTATGTGAACTATTCTTTAATCCCTTTACCTCTGGATCCCTTTGTGTATGACCTGTACAATACCGTATCTAGCGCATCCATACCAAGGTTTAAACCCCCTAAATACCAGATTTTTCCTTAATTTCCAAAAATTGGGATGTCTTGGCTCCAAAAATTGGTAATTTGGGGGGTTTTCGTACTCTCCTGGCATTTTTATTTTAACTGAATGTTAGGAAAAAAGGTTTTTTTTATTTTTGTATTAAAAAAATAATAAAAAATAACAATTATTAAATACCACAATAAAAAACTCTGTCTCAAAACAATTGTAGAAAATGCATTTGGGTCCAGTGTTGCATGACCAAGAAATTGTCAAACTATCACAGTACTGAAAACTGAAAAATGGCTTGGTAATGAAGGGTTCTTAATCAAGTAGTTAAAACATCTTGATCCCATTTAAAATATTTATTTATAATAATTGCGCATTATTCCTATTTCAATGCACATTTTGCTGCAATCTTTTAAAAGAGTTTCATAGAAAGTGTGTATATCACTGATCAAAAACTGAGAAGCTTTATACCTCATCAGTGTGCTGCTGCTCCCTTTTTGCTCAACCAGCTGGCTAGGTGTGTCTTCTACTGTGTACTGTGTACTGTGCACTGTTCACTGTGATTGTGCTTCAGTGGAAGTCAAGGGCCCGTTTTTTTGTGCTATGTAGCTGTGCAATGTACCTGTATCACAAAACTGAGGGAACAAAAAGACAAAAAACCTTAGCAGGCAAACAGCACCCATATTGGAATTTCAAGCCTTTAGCACACCTGCAGTTCCCATTTAACACTGGGATACAAAATGAAGTTTCATTTTTATAGGCTATTGTCTAAAACCACACAGGTTCTCATGCTTTGCTTTATTTTACTGTAGTGAAAAGTGATGATGATGATGCTGATGTGAAGCCAGGAAAGTGTCACGGAAACCAAGGGAAGGGTAGTGATGACAGTAAAGACCCAAGGAGGCCGAAACGACCACGCACAATCCTCACAACGCAGCAGAGACGGGCCTTTAAAGCATCTTTTGAGGTGTCTTCAAAGCCTTGCAGAAAGGTATGTACCTTTGTTTTGGTGTGTGCTTGTGACTATACTTGAGGCAATTTTCTTAAGACACAAATTCACTCATGTTACTGCAGGGCCGATCCTGACATCTCAAGGAAATAGCATAGAGTTAGTAGGAACAACTTCTGTACAACAAAATTAAAATAGAATATGATGGAGAGTTTATTTTTGGTTTTTGTTTGACCCTTCTTTATTTTGCGTTTGGGCACTTTCTAGCTGATATTTTTTCCTCCTACTTTTTTCTCTTTTCTTTTTTATATACATAAAAACTAATGTTTTCTTCAAATGGTTTATTGCATTACCTAAAAAAGTAAAATTAAAGCTGTGTATTTAAAGGCAAAACTTTTTTTTATTTTGGTTAGAGTGGTCAGGGCCACATCTTATTTGGTACCCAGACCTCATTATTAGTCTCAGCTATGCACTGGCCTTTATACAGTCATGGCCAAAAATATTGGCACCCCTGCATTTCTGTCAGATAATGCACCATTTCGCGCAGCAAATTGTTGCAATTACAAATGTTTAGGCATTCTCATGTTTATTTCTTTTGTTTATATTGGTATGACACAAAAAAGTGGAGAAAAAAAAGCCAAATCTGACACATTCTTCAAAAATGGACTGGACATAATTATTGGCACCTTCTCCGAAGTTGCAAGAAATAATTGCATTTCAAGTTTGTGATGCTCCTGTAATTTGTAATAAACTCAATTAACAGGTAGTGACAATATCAAATCACACCGGCAACCAGTTAAAATGGTGAGAAATTGACTCAACCTTTCTACTGTGTGTCTCTGTGTGCCACACGGAGCATGGAGAAGAGAAAGAGCAGCAAAGAATTGTCTGAGGATTTGAAAACAAAAAATGTGGAAAAGCATGGACAATCCCAAGGTTACAAGTCCATCTCCAGGGATCTTAATGTTCCTGTGACCACTGTGCACAACATTATCAAGAAGTTCCCAGCCAATGGCACTGTAGCTAATCTCCCTGGATATGGACGAAAGAGACCAATTGATCAAAGATTGCAACAAAGGATTGTTTGGTGGATAAAGACCCTTGGTCAACTTCCAGACAAATTCAAGCTGACCTTCAGGCACAGGGTACAACTGTGTCAGCTCGCACTATACGTCGCTATCTGAATGAAAAGGGACACTATAGTAGGAGACCCAGGAGGACCCCCCTGCTGACACAGAAAAATAAAAAAGCCACATTGGAGTGTGCCAAAACTCACCTGAGGAAACCAAAATCCTTTTGGGAGAATGTGCTGTGGACAGACGAAACAGCTTTTTGGTAAAGCCCATCATTCTACTGTTTTCAGAAAAAGAAATGAGGCCTTTAAAGAAAAATATACAGTCCTTACAGTCAAATTGGCGAGGTTTACTGATGTTTTGGTGTTGCTTTGCTGCTTCAGGCACTGGATGTCTTAACTGTGTGCATGACATTATGAAATCTGAAGACTACCAAAGAATTCTGGGGTGCAGTGTAGGGCCCAGTGTCAGAAAGTTGGGTCTCTGTCAGAGGCCATGGGTCTTACAGCAGGACAATGACCCAAAGCGCACATCAAAAAGCACCCAGAAATGGTTTCAGACAAAGCGCTATAGAGTACTGGACTGACCATCAATGACTCCGAATCTGAATCCCATAGAGCACCTGTGGAGAGATCTCAAAATAGCAGTTGGGAAAAGGAACCCTTCCAATCTGAGATACCTGGAGCATTTGTTGAAAGAAGAGTGGTCCAAAATTCTTGTAGAGAGGTGTAAGAAACGAATTGATGGTTACAGGAAGCAATTCAATTCAGCTATTTTTTTTCCAAGAGCTGTGCTACTTAATATTAATTGAGGGTGCCACTCATTTTGTCCAGTCCATTTTTGGAATTTTGCGTGGAATGTGTCAGATTTGGGGTTTTTTTCTCCACTTTTTTGTGTCATACCAATACAAACAAAAGAAATAAACATGAGAATGCCTAAACATTTGTAATTAAAGCAATTTTGACTCCCTTGTTAGCCAGGGACTGGCTTGAGTTTAGTTAGTTGCTCAGATGAGCAGATGTTTTGTTTGTTTTGTATGCTATGGATTTGCTGTACAAATCCCTCCAGAATTGTAAAACTGTTTGTATAAAAGTACAAGACAGACCTGCTTGTACTGTTTCTGGGTTTCCCTGTCTCATGTATAGTTTACCACTGCCAATACCAGTTGAGCCTGTCCCCATTAGAATGTATATGCACTCTAATTTTTATTTTTTGCATTTTCATTTGTTTTTCACAATTTATGCCTAATTAAAACATAGAAAAATGTGTGTGACAAAAAATGTAGAATACATTAGGGTAGACTACCAAAGCTGCAGAACCTAGATATATCTCTAAAATGGAAAAAAAAATCTGGGACTTAAGGGTGGTATAAAAAGTGCTGTGGGACTCATGTAGTAAAAAAAAAAAAAAATCCTTTCAGGTTTTCCTCTGTGTCCCTGCCAGGGAAATTTACTCTCCCTATTTACCCTGGCAACCTCTGTCACTGGGAAAAAAATTATAGAAAATCCCAAATTTTGAGATTTTACCAAAACAGGAACAGAGAAGAAATCTTCCCATGGGGACACTTGTTCTGATGACAAATGTGAAAGAATGTACTTACTTCACTTTGGAGTGATTTCCTCTTACTTTCTTTTGTGTCTACATACAGATGGTCAAAAAGTAGTTTACAGAGAGCCACATGTAAATTATGTGTATAACTGGCATCTAATGTGTCTTTAACACCTTATACTTAGGTGCTAGAATGGATCTTTCCTGACAATAGAACTAGTTACGACAGCCATTCTCCTAAGTTCCATGTGATCATCAGGTAACTGAACCCCAATAGTTCAGACCTTGGAAGATTTAACAGCTTACTTTACGGGGGCTAGAATGGTTCTTTCCTGACAATTTCCTGTAATAGGGACCAGTTAATGCAGCCATTCTTTTTAGTTCCAAGTGATCATCACCTAAGTGCACTCAGATAGCTCAGATCAGATAGGGCTCGCATTATCATAACATTGTTGCTTTGTATGGGCCTGGGTTCCTTCACAAAACATTGTTCTCCCTGGAAAGTAGATTGCAGGGATTAGGGGAGTATTTAGAGGCGCATAGTATAGGATCAATGTATGAAAACTGTTTACTGTTTTTTTGCAGGTCAGAGAGACATTGGCAGCAGAAACAGGCCTTAGTGTACGAGTTGTCCAAGTATGGTTCCAGAACCAAAGAGCGAAGGTACATCTCTTCCTTTTCTGCTTTGTTATAAACACTCTGGTCTTTTTTGTACTGTTTATGTGTGAATACAGAGTTCTGCTTTTGTACTGTCTGGTCCTACATGTGTTAACCAATTCATAGAGTCACTTAACAGCTCATCGCTTTATTTAACAGATGAAGAAATTAGCACGGAGGCATCAACAACAACAAGAGCAACAAAATTCTCAGAGACTTGGTCAAGGTAGCTAAAACATTATTATTTATATCATAATATATATATATATATATAATGTAATATTTTAAATAATTACAGCTATTGACCTGATCATCTCAATAACCTTTGAACATATAGCGTGCATGCCCATGTAGAGACCTGCTCCTGGGAGGGACAGGTGCTTTGTGTAACTGTGTGCAGCAACCTATACCCCCTATGGCAGGATATGGCAGCACCCAGCTACACGCTGACCGGCACATCTGTGCAGGTCCAGGTCCCTGCACTTGGACGCACACTGTCTGCATCCAAGTGCGGGCACCCAGAACTCCACAGTGTGCATGCTGTACAGCTGTGCACACCCATGTGAATGAGCTCTTAACCCATTTTATTAAAAACATGATCTCTCTCCTAACATGCTTTTTTGAACAGTGCAGTCATAAGTGCATGATCTTGATACATTTTCTGAAAACATTGCTTATACCTTGGGCAAAAGTCTCGATTAAACCTAAAAGTATATTGTTGACAAGCACAACAAGGCAATTGAGCTCATTTATGAAACTTGGGACAAATCTAAAGCAGCTTTTGCCAATATCAGTTGAGCAAATATAATCTTGAATTCTCTCTTATGCAACATTTGAATGAAATTGGACAGTGTGTGCTGCTTCTTTTGTTCAAGTCCTTAACTTACTTCAGCCCAGGGGTTTAATACAATTTTTCAAACCCAGGTTGAAAGACTTGGGGTATGCATGCTTGAAAACGTAATATCGACTCTGAAAGTCAACACCGAATCAGGATTATTATGAGAGAATATGCCTACTGTGAACAGGTGTATCTGTTAAGAGCTAACTGACAGCTTAAGCTAAAGTTAGCTGCAGTGTTATAGCAAATGCTTCTACTTATGGCATATCAAAGCCAAACCACGAGCAGCATGGAGAAAACTATCTACTGTAGTGCAAGGAAAATTGCACACACACATTGATAATGGTCTGTTAGGACCACTTTAACACTTTTTAAAATATGTGACTGCAAAGGTTTACAGGGTTATTCACAAAAGGGTGAAGAGTTTGGAGAAGGCTGGAGAAGTCAACAATTTAGGACAACATAGCTGAACTGGAAAGTGAGCTGAATTGGAGAATGATTCCAAGTCAGCTATGTTGTTCTAGATCAGTGATGGTGAACCTTTTTGAACCCGAGTGCCCAAACTGCAACGCAAAATCAATTTATTTACCTCAAAGTGCCAGCGCTGAAAATAAGTTTAGTACTGTATTGCAGTTTGGCCACTCGGGTTTAAGAAATGTTCAACATCACTGCCTTAGGACCCAATTCACACTAAGCGACATACCTTAAAAGCGGGGCCGGGATAGCGCAACTGTTCGGGGCGACGTTCCAGCAAAGATTGCGCGACCTTCCTGATTGTGACTGGCCCGGATCGCGTACTGAGGCGACCCGGGTCGGTCGGATCTATTTCCATTGGTGGTCCCTGATTCTGGGCTCGAGTGCCAGCAGAGAGGGCCCCACGTGCCCTCCCTGGCACGCGTGCCATAGGTTCGCCATCACTGTCCTAGATTGTTCACTTCTCCTGCCTTCTCCAAACTCTTCACCCTTTTGCGAATAACCCTGCTAGTATTTAGCTCATACTGCAAAAGAGTGTTGCTATGCTTTTCTGTTATCTTATACAGTAGCAAATTTATAGGATTAGCTTTAAAACTTATTGTAGAAGCTTTAGAAGCTCTACTTATTGTAGAAGCTCAGTTTTGTAAAAAAAATATCTATAAAAAAAAATCTTATTTAAAAAACAGTTTTGCATTGGAAGCGTTCTAAAATTTCCATATCACCATACTAAGCAGAGGATTAACATGAAAACTGTTTGAACAAATTTTAAGATTACGGATGTCCAGATTCTTTAATTTCTGTTTATAAACTAACAGGTGGCTTAGCTTTTACAGTCGTTACAGTCATAAGGAGCTAGGGCCTCATCTGCTTATGTTATGAAAGAACTACATTGATCCTGAACTTTTTAAAAGTTTTTTTAGATATATTTGTAAATATGATTAGTTTAATGTAAAGAATCCTATCAAATGTAAAACCTTGCATAATGTTTGTAAACATCATGTACAAAGAGGCACCCATATTTCAGTCCAAGTCTATAGGTCAGGCCTGAGATGATATAAACAATACACCCACTACAAAGCTAACTGAGCTTATCTCAGTAGTCATAAGTCAGCGAAAGCTAACTACATTTCCTAATATACCAATGACATTTAGAGGGAGCACTTGAAATCTATAGATGATATATAAATATAAAATGCAACAAAATGCACTCAAAACTCCAAGCAGATGATCAAAATTGTACATAAATGACTTAATCTGTATTGCAGTACTTACAGCAGCATTGCTGTATAAATTATTGTTAGAACTGTTGTTATCTATAAAAGAAGGAAATCATTAATCACTCTTCCCTGCGCCTGCACTGCTGAACAATGCACCAGTCACTAGAACAGGTGCTTGAAGTCAGCTAGGAGGCCAACATTTTCAGGAATATCAATCTGTTGGGTCACCCGCTGTTCCTACTGGTTCCTCCCTCTAAATGCATGCCACTGCACACTGCTCATGTCACAGTGGTGACATGAGATCAGAGGGAGAAGCCAGTAACAATTGCAGGGGACCCAGAAGATTGACACTCACGGGACTGGGTACCAGTTCTAATGCTTGGAGTACTCTTCAGTAACATAGGCACAGGAAAAGGTGAGTATTTACTGCCTTCATTTACAGGTAACAGCAAACAATGTTTTGTAACAGGCTCCCTTTAGTAGCAAATCTCTAATTGAAAAACATATATAAACCTAATATTTCCACTGTTCATGTGCTTTATTAATGTCATACATGTCACTAACATTTTGCCATAACCAAAACTATAGTAACAGCTTCATAAATCTCTCCAATATGTCAAGCTGCCTAAAATAAAAAAATATATAATTTAAGCTCTGCCAAAAATAAAATATTTCACAAGCTTTATTTGTCCTACCTTTCAACCTAATAGAGACCCTTTGTACTGCCTGAATTTTCACTTAAATCCTACTAAATCTTTAAACTGGACTCTCTGCAAAACTCTAAGCTATGCAGAAATCCTATCTAGCCTACTAAACTGGAATAAAACAAAATCTGTGTCACACCACACTGCCGTTTATAATTCCTCTGTAATATCTAATACTTTAGTAATGAATCTAGCTTAGAAGCTGTCTCTAAAATCATTTTTCAAATTGTGAACCAAATTTCGCTCAGTTTCCCAAATCTATCTATATTTCCTAAATCTCTATTAAACCTGTAACAGCAGTTTCTATTTCCATCCTGTCAAAGATTGAGAATCAACCCCATCATTTGTAGCATATTTGATATTGTAAAGCAGAACAGTGAGATAATAATTTATGTGCATAGTATATATTACCTAATTTATTCTCGTTGGACTATATATACTATTGAAGTAAACATTTCTCAATGATGGAAATATAAACACAGCTCTGTCTATGGAATGTAGCTGTTACAATCAAATGCTCTCTACATCTTTCTCAGTGCACAAAGGAATAGAATGCATTTCTGTGACAAAGAACCAAATGCATTCCATGAACCCCGCTACATAATACAAGCAAATCAGATTTTTAAATACCAAAAGATTGGAAAAATCTAGTAGATAGATAGATAGATAGATAGATAGATAGATAGATAGATAGATAGATAGATAGATAGATAGACTTTAAAGCAATTTAAGTTATGTTTGAATAAAGTTGATTATTTCATGATCTTGCCTTACTATATGAAAATTGGAGTTGTGTTTTAACTGCTTTAGTTATTTGTTTAGAGACGCACATACAGGTGAAACTCGAATAATTAGAATATCGTGCAAAGTTCATTTATTTCACTAATGCAACTTAAAAGGTGAAACTAATATATGAGATAGACTAATTACATGCAAAGCAAGATAGTTCAAGCCGTGATTTGTCATAATTGTGATGATTATGGCTTACAGCTCATGAAAACCCCAAGAACCCCAAATCCACAACCTCAGAAAATGAGAATATTACATGCAATCAATAAAACAAGGATTGTACATAGAACAATATCGGACCTCTGAAAAGTACAAGCATGCATATGTACTCAGTACTTGGGTTGGACCCCTTTTGCAGCACTTACTGCAATTACTTTTGCACGATATTCTAATTATTCGAGTTTCACCTGTATAGGTGGTTTTGAAAAAAACTAAAGTCTATGTGACAGTTAGCTTTCCATAGATCGAACGTATAAATATGAAATGACCTAGCGAACAAATGATAGACAGATGGCAAACTTTGCAGGACTGAGTGCATTAATGTGGCTCCTTGTCACCCGTCAGAGGTCATGTCCAGCCGCATGGAAGGGATGATGACCTCATACGCCCCTCTGGCCCCCCCTCAGCAACAGATTGTCTCAATGGATCAGAACAACTACAGCACAGACCCCTTCCAGCAAGGACTCACACCTCCTCAAATGCCAGGTGACCACATGAATCCTTATGGTAAGCTGCATACACCCTGTACATTAGCACTAAGTGCCACGATTCACAACAGATTGTAGTGTGATATGCCTTTTTTCTAGAAAACTGTGATCATTATATTCGGTATATATGTACACTAAAACTGCCTGTACTAATTACCAAACTCGAGGAGATGCTCAATTTATATTTATGTGTTCTAATATAATTAGACATTTTTAAATTCTTTGTTGTATCTTCATTTTCTAAATAACACTGCACAACAATTTTTGTGAAAAGTTTTGCTTCCTGAAAAGTTTTTGCTGATTGTGACAGGTACCTGGTGGGTATGCACAAATATAGTTTTGGTTTTGCTGCATCACGTAGGAACTGAGAAATAGACAGTTAACTGTTTACTGGCAATAACGTATTTAATTATGTTTATGTTTTTAATACGCTATTAAGTTCAACATAATTTAAGGTGTTTTGCTCCTGATTTTTGTTTGTATTCAATGTCCGTTGCATCACGTTGCAATGTCCAACAGTAGTCAGCAAGCATTGATGGATTCCAGTTGCCCTCATATCGCTTTTCCATTGTAGCAATGTCTTGGTGAAACCTTTCAGATCTCCACAGATATTTCAGTTGTACTTGCTGTACTGGATGTGCTTCAGCAACATTTCCATGTTCTCATAGGTTTCTTTCATGTGTGCTGCACAGCCAGCAGGTATTGAAGGGTGAACGTTGCCATTGTGTAACAGAACAGCTTTGAGGCTTAACATTGACGAATCAATAAAGAGATGTCACTCTTGTGGGCCATGGTCACAACCCAAAGCAGAGAACAATCCTTCGATGTCAACACAGAAATAGAGACTGAAAAACTTGTGCAAAGAATTTGGTTATATCATCTTAGCGGCTTCAAAAAACAGAAATTTTCGTACCTGGTGACAGCAAACACTATTCCTGCAGTCTTGAACCCAGCAATTTGGCTTTTGCTTTTGACAGAGCCAAATCTCTGTTCAGATCGTTTAATTCTGACTGTGTTATGAGATGTGGATCACCTGAGGAGCACGGTTCAAAATCCAGATCAATGTCACTGCCAGTTCCCTGCATTGCAGTTTCTTCATCTGGTTCATCTAAGTCCATCTGGTTCATTCATCTGGTGGTTTAGGAATTGGAAGACTGTCGTAATGTTTCACCGGTCTCATTGCTGAAGGCAGATTATGGTATTCAATTGACTTCTTGTTTTTGGCAGAGAAGCCAGACACATTAGTCAAACAGAAGTAACAGTCCGTCACATGGTCTTTCTGTTCTCGCCATATCATCGGGACAGCAAATGGCATTGTCTTTTGAGTGCCTCTCAGCCAAGCTCTCAGACAGACAGCACATGTCACACAACAAATGTGAGGCGCCCATTCCTTGTCTTGATCGCCAATTTTACAGCCGAAGTACAGATGATATGCTTTCTTCACAAGAGCAGTCATTGCGCGTCTCTGATGAACAAGCGTATACTCGCCACAAATATAGCAGAATGTATAGCGGCTTTTATGACACTGACGAGACATAATGACCGACACCAATCATCCTGTAAAACGTCTATAACATCTAACTTACTTGTTACAGTGCTACTGAGGCACTGCTGTATTCTGAAACAATATGTACACACTATAAGGTCTATATTAATCCAATGAGCAGCATCTGTGTATGCAGGCCACTTTTATAGCCTACTGAGATAGTGTCAAGCTGGCTCCTGCCTGCCCAGGCATGCCCAGGCTGCATACTTCCACAGAACAACTTCCAACCTGGCCTGATTTCATGCCTGGACATGCCCAGACTGCACAAAACATTGTTCCTAGGTCTCTTACAGAAACAAAAATTTTTGAACACAAATATAAGAAAAAACATGACAAATCTGAAGATTTCCATTAAACGGTATGTGATGGATGTGATTTTTTGTGATCAGCAGCCCAAAATCTATAAAGAAACACCCAACAGTGTTCAAGAAGCAAAATCTTTGTTGTGCAGTGTAATTGAAAAAAAGTTAAAATAGAGCCAAAGGCAATTTTTCATCTTTGGCTTTAGCACCTAATCTAAATCTTACATGACCAATTTCAAGGACACTTAGCTCAGGGTTGCACCACAGGAAAATGCCAGCAATGCTTGTGCTTTTGTCCAAGGCATCAAACAGTTAAAAGAAGGTAGAGCTAAACACCATAGAGGAAGGGGAGAGTGAAAAAAAGGTTGATACACACAGTTAGTATAAGAGGTATGTCAAGTGTTTTTTTACATAAACAGGATGGAGCTAGAAGTGCTGCCACAGAAATAGAGGGTGCTGGAAAGATTCATAATAAATACTTTGATATATACAGTATACATTAATGTATAGGGAAAATATAACTGATCGAAATAAAATATATATATATGGTTATTTTTAGGTTTAACATTAATTTGCTGACTGGCAAGTGCTATCAGTACTTGTTTTTCTTTCCGGTCAGCAACCAAGCCAACTGCCTTGTACAATTAAGCAGGGAATATTTAAACTTCAGGGATAGCCCATAGCAACTCGTGTGATAGGTTTAATATTGTAATCTCAATTAGAACAATAGCAGATATAATCTGACTGGTTGTTATGGTCAACACATCTTCTTTTCCTCTGAGGATCATTCCATTAAGAACACTGGTTTTGAATACCATAAATGACACTAAACTCAGGATTCAAATCGTAAAAATGCATTAACAAAAATGTATCTTATTTTGTATTACTCAGCTGTAGATCCTCAAATCATCTCTGAATTTGTGCTGACACTGTCCTTCCTTCTGGAGGGTGGACACTTTTGTTCCCTACTTTTAGTTGCTACCTGTCTACATGTACTCCAGTGCCAGCTGCATATTGCTGTGCTGCACTGACTTTCTGATGGTGACAATGGTGGGCAATGCCTGCTCAATGGCCACATGTATTCTCCACCAGGGAAGCATGTGGCAAGGTGACAACACAGTAGCACAATTAGGAAACAGTTGTCACCACATGACAGAAAGTGCCTAAACAAAGACCTTTATGGCAGGACCACCAGGTATTATTTAAATGAAAGCTGAATAGTTTAATTGTTAGAAAACAACTTATGAAATTATGCTAACATGCTAAAGCTAATATGAGACTTTAGTATTTACGTAAAGATTTACTTTAGCACAAGCTCAAGTTTAAACATCAAGCTTCCCAATGACAGTAATTCTCTTTGGGCAATGTATTTAAACTCCAAGACCAAAATTCATAATTTATTAGAATACATTTTTCTAAAAATGCATAAAAAAATATTTAGATTTAAAGATTCATTCTGCCTAAACTCATGTTTCAGTCTTTGGAAGATGCTGTTTGGCTACATAATATTTCCTTATATCTCTAAAGAGCTTTGGAAATGGTATCTATTAATGCGATTTTTCAAGTCAGTTGACCTAACACAACTATTATGAGGCAACCTAACTACCTAATTAAGGTGAACAAAGCACCTGGACCGGATGGCTTACACCTACATGTCCTCAAATAATTGAGCTGTATAATTTCAAAGCCATTGTATCTAATTTTTAGAGATTCTCTAATGACTGGCTTAATACTGATGGATTGGTGCAAGGCCCATGTGGTGCCTATATTTAAAAAGGGATCAAAGTTTTTACCAAGTAATTATACACCTGTAAGCTTAGCTTCAATAGCTGGGAAGATACTTGAAAGTTTGATCAAGCATTACATGCAATTGTTTTTGCTGGAAAATAATATCACAATCAATAGTCAGCACCGATTCACAAAAGACAGAAGTTGTCAAACAAATCTACTTTATTTTTATGAGGAAGTGAGTAATAAATTGGACAGAGGAACAAAAGCGTTTGACACAGTTCCCCACATGCGGCTAATGTTCCATGGCCTACCTCCCGTCCATGGACTTTCCTGAATGGGAGTCTTGTAGGAGCGGGAGGACGTCTTAAGACGTCCTGCCCCCCCCCCTCTTGTGCGCGTCGCTCAGGGCGCAAACGAGTCGGGAACTGTTAGCAATGTAAACAGCCAGCGATGGCTGTTTACATTCAAGTGATCGCTTGCAGTAGCTGCAGGTGTGCCCCCCCAGCGTACCCTTGTCCCCGCCGCCTCCTCGCTGCCGCTTCCGGTCCCGAGATCCACTGTGCCCGGTGCGGCTGGGACCGGCACGGCGACGCTGTCAGTGGAGATCAAAGGGAGATCAGTACACAATCTCCCTTTGATCTCTTCTCCGTCCCCGAATGCAGAAGTGATGTATATTGCATCACTTCCTGCATTCAGTGTCACTCTCCGGTTACAGATGCTGGTGAGAAGCTAATGAAGCAGATCTCTGCTTCATCAGCTTCTCTGAGGGTCCCTAGGTGACATTGGGAATCTTAGAGACCCCTGATGTCTCCATAAAGAGGACCTGTCATGTGAATTGGCTATCACATAGTGGATTTCTTAGTCCCCTATGTGATAGTAATATAGTTAAGTGTAAAAAAAAAAGTCTAAAAAAATGAATGCATAAAAAAAATAAAGAAGCTAAAAAAATAATCACAAATAAAAAAAATGTAAAATAACAAAAACATTTTTTAAGTCTCCCGCCCCCACATACACAAACATGCGTCGGATGTGTCAACATGCGAAAACGACGATTACTGCCTATTGTGTCGCACATGTTACATATCGCCGCGAACGTTGGAATGAGAGCAATAATTTTATGGCCATTAATTACTGATAACATTAAACTGATGAGCGGTAAAAGCTTTTAAAGCATCGCCTATGGCCAATTTTGGGTCTGGTCGTTTTTTTGCGATTTTGCGGGCGCGCGCAATTTTAAAGCTTGACATGTTTGGTGTTTATTTACCCGACGTGACCCTGTCTTTTATATTTTACCAAAAAATGTGGGTGATAATAAATGTTTCATAACATTTCATGGGGAAACAGGATTTTTACAAAATTTAGGGTACTTTTTTTGTTATATAGTAAAAAATAAAAACCCCAGTGGTGATTAAATACCACTCTATCTGTCCCTAAAAAATG